ATGTGAGGGCAGGGAACATCCAGGGGAGGGGAGGGCAGAGAGAATCCAGGGGAAGGCAGGGATAATCCAGGGAAGGGCAGGGATGATCCAGGGGAGGGCAGGGATGATCCAGGGGAGGGCAGGGAGAATCGAGGTGGAATTCCAGCCCCTCCATGCTGTCCCTGGCCAGGTCTCCACGCCGCCACCGTTCCAGCTCCTCCTCTCCGGCACGGCCCAAGGAACGTCGGGATGAGGAGAAGAAAGAGCTCAAGGACTCCAAGAAGGAGCGACAGATCACAGGTGAGGGAGGGAATTCCTCCCCAAACCCATCCCAGTGGGAACCCCTGAACCTTCACTGGCCATTTTTTGGGAATCTCAAGATCCATGTTCTCCCTATCCCTGTTTTCCCCTCAGAGGAGGATTTGCAGGGCAAGACAGAGGAGGAGATTGAGATGATGAAGATGATGGGATTTGCCTCCTTTGACACCACCAAGGTCAGTGCAGGCCTCAGGTCACTTCCCATGCTGGCACCTGTCCTTTTTTTGGGGATAAACCATGGAATTTTGGGACTGTTTCTCCTCAGGGGAAGAAGGTGGATGGTGCTGCCAATGCCTATGCCATCAACGTGTCCCAGAAGAGAAAGTACAGGTGTGTGCCACCTTTTTGGGGAATATTTGGTTTGATGAAGTACCTGTGGTTGCTGTTTCAGGCCTTGGGAAAATGGGGTTTTTTGGTCAAATCCATGGGGAATTAGCTTCCTTGTGGCTGCTGAGCCCATCCCCAGCCTCCTCAGGAATATTTATCCAGATCTCCCTGGATCTGGGCACTCCAGGGCTGATTCCAACCCTTTCCCATCACAGGCAGTACATGAACAGGAAAGGAGGATTCAACAGACCTCTGGATTTCATTGCCTGATGCTGGGACACAACTCCCCATGGAAGGATTTGCTTCCCTGTGCTCTCCCAAGTGGCTCCAAGACCAGATTCCAATGGAATTGGGGCTATTCCCACCAACCCCCAGGTCTGGAGCTGCTCCAAGTCACCATTTCCTGGATTTTGGGTGTTATTTTTTATAGCTTTGTGGTTCCTGGTTGGGAATTTGCTGTGTTTTCCCTGAGTTTTTTTGGTTGTTTCCTTGTTAATAAACCCCTGGATGGATTTTTCCCTTGAATCCTTATCCTTTGGGGATCGAGTGGGGGTGGAAACTATGGAAAACCTCTGGATTTACACCCAAAACCTTCACACAAATCCAGGAAGTCGACACCAACCAGTTCCCTCCCATGAGGCCTTGTTTGGGGCCTTTTCCTGCTAAACCCACAATTTCAGGGAATTGTGACATCCCAACGGGATGTTTTCCCACTGCAGCTCTTCCCACCTTCCCTCTGGCATTCATCAACCTCTTAATTAACCTCTAATTAACCTCTTTGGCTAATTAACACCGTGGAGGAGGGGCTGGGGGAAGATCTGGGCTCACGATGGAGGTGCAGGGGGTGGTTGGGGTGGTCTTACCCCTCTGTGCCCCCAAAATTTGGGGAGTGGGGCTGGGGGGGGGTCACCAGTTTGGCTGGGGGGTCTGGGGTGCTCCCAGTTTGGGGTGGGAGGAGCTTTGGGTGCTCTGTACCCTGCAGGGGTCTCTGAGCCCTGCCCAGGGTGGGGGTCCCTGGATGAGTCCATATTTGGGTAGGGGGGGGTGAGGTGAGGAGGGTCCTGCCTCGGGGCAGGGGGGCCCCAGGGGGGGCCCTGGCCTGTTGAAAAAAGGGGTCACCAGCTGTGGGGTCTGGGGTGCTCCCAGTTTGGGGTGGGAGGAGCTTTGGGTGCTCTGTACCCTGCAGGGGTCTCTGAGCCCTGCCCAGGGTGGGGGTCCCTGGATGAGTCCATATTTGGGTAGGGGGGGGTGAGGTGAGGAGGGTCCTGCCTCGGGGCAGGGGGGCCCCAGGGGGG